TGAAGTCTCCCACTATTATTGTGTGGGAGTCTAAGTCTCTTTATAAGTCTTGTATATCTGGGTATTCCTGTATTGGGTGCGTGTATATTTAGGATCTTTAACTCTTCTTGTTGTTGCATTGATTCTTTTATCATTATATAATGTCCTTCTTTGCTTCTTTTGATCTTTGTTGCTTTAAATACTATTTTATCAGAGGCAAAAATTGTAACTTCTGCTTTTTATTTATTTATTTTTGCTCTCTGATTGGTTAGTAAGTCTCTCTCCATCCCTTGTTTTGAGTCTTTGTGTATCCTTGAATGTGAGATGGGTCTGGATGCAGCATACAGTTTTAGTTTTTTGTCCAAATTGCCTGTCTTTGAATTGAGGAATTTAGTCAATTTAAATTTAGAATTAATAATGATATATGTGAGTTTAATACTGTCATTTAATATTAGCTGGCCATTTTGCCCATTAGTTGATGTAAACTCTTCATTATATTGATGTTTTTTACTTTTTGGTATTTTTTAGAAAGGCTGATACTGTTTGTTCCTTTCTATGTGTAGTGGTTCTTTCAGAAGCTCTTGTAAAGCAGGCCTGGTGGTGATGAATTCTCTGAGTGCTTGCTTGTTCACAAAAAACTTTATTTTTCCTTCACTTTTGAAGCTTAGTTTGGCTGGATGTGAAATTCTTGGTTGAAAGTTCTTTTCTTTAAGGATGTTAAATATTGGTCCCCACTCTCTTCTGGCTTGTAGGGTTTCTGCTGAGAGATCTTCTGTGAGTCTGATAGGCTTCCCTTTGTGGGTAACCTGACCTTTCTGTCTGGCTGCCCTTAGTATTTTCTCCTTCATTTCAACCCTGGTGAATCTGACGATTATGTGCCTTGGAGTTGCTCTTCTTGAGGAATATCTTTGTGGTGTTCTCTGTATTACCTGGAGTTGAATATTATCCTGCCTTACTAAGTTGGGAAAATTTTCCTGAATAATATCCTGAAGCATATTTTCCAGGTTGGATTCATTCTCTTCGTCACATTCAGGTACACCTATCAAGCGTAGATTAGGTCTTTTCACATAGTCCCATATTTCTTGGAGACTTTGCTCGTTCCTTTTTATCCTTTTTTCTCTAATCTTGTCTTCTTGTTTTATTTCATTGAGTTGGTCTTCGACCTCTGATATCCTTTCTTCTGCTTGATCAATTTGGCTGTTAAAACTCGTGCATACTTCACGTAGTTCTCGTATTGTGTTTTTCAGTTCCATCAATTCACTTATTTTCCTCTCTAAATTTTGTATTCTTGTTGACATTTCGTCAAACCTTTTTTCAAAGTTCTTAGTTTCTTTAGATTGTATTAGAACAAGTTTTTTTAATTCACAGAAGTTTCTTATTATCCACGTTTTGAAGCCTGCTTCTGTAATTGGAACACACTCGTTCTCCATCAAGCCTTGTTTAGTTGCTGATGAGGAATTGGGATCCCCTGCTGAGGGAGAGGCGTTATGATCTTGGGTATTCTCAGCCTTTTTTGGCTGTTTTCTTCCCTTCGTTGTAGATTTATCCATCTGTGGTCTTTATAATTACCGTCTTTGTAATTGGGTTTCTGAGTGGACGTCCAACTTATTGATTCTCAGCGCCGAAATCTGAGCAACCCACTGCGCTGACCAAATCAGCGGCGTTAAGATTGATGGTGCTTTTCTGACTCTACACCAAGAACCGACGCTCTGAGGCGCCAGTAAAACCGCCTCGCCGGTCACAAGAGTCGCGCTGGCGACCCGTGGGGCTCCTCCGCTGGGAATCTCCTGGTGCGTGAGCAACAAGAATTCATGTGAAGGTGTGGCGTCCTCTCGTTCTTTGCATTTTCAGTGGGAGCTACAATCCCGAGCTGCTAGTGATCAGCCATCTTGGATCCAGCCTCCTGATTAGCTGGGATTACAGGCACGCACCGCCATGCCCAGCTAATTTTTTTTTGTATTTTCTTCAGTAGAGACGGGGTTTCACCATGTTGACCAGGATGGTCTCGATTTCTTGACCTCATGATCCACCCACCTCGGCCTCCCAAAGTGCTGGGATTACAGGCTTGAGCCACCGTGCCGGCCAATTTTTCTTTTATTCTTTAGGGAGAGTTCTATTTGGGAGCTTGTGGGCAGATTAATTATCAGCAAGAGGCTGAATTGGAATAAGAGGAGGTCTCATTGTGACATGTTACAAAGTAACTCTCATGAATTTTATATATATATAAAATATAAAAAAATATATAAAATATATATATATATATATATATATATATATATATATATTTTTTTTTTTTTTAGACAGAATCTTGCTGTGTCACCCAGGCTGAAATGCAGGGCATGATCTTGGCTCATTGCAATCTCCGCCTCCTGGGCTCAAGCAACTGTCCTGCCTCAGCCTCCTATGTAGTTGAGATTACAGGCACCCATCACTATCACCAGCTAATTTTTGTATTTTTAGTAGAGATGGGGTTTCACCATGTTGGCCAGGCTGGTCTCAAACTCCTGACCTCAAGTGATCTGCCCACTTTGGCCTCCCAAAGTGCTGGGATTACAGGCATAAGCCACCACGTCTGGCCAAAAATTTTTAATTGCGGTAAATGATGAGACATGACAAGTTCTATGGTGACCATAAATAAATGCATGTAGTAAGGAAAATGAAGTTATATAATGTATGCATTATTATACCTTGATTATCTTTTTGTACATTGTTATTCATAGTACACAGATGTGACATGAGGCTTAATTAGTATTTATAATGTATTTAAGAATACCCAACTAAATCATATGGCAGGTAGACACGGTATTATTATTATTATTTTATTGATACGAAATCTTGCTGTGTCGCCAGGCTAGAGTGCAGTGGCACGATCTCGTCTCACTGCAACCTCCGCTTCCCAGGTTCAAGCAATTTCCCTGCCTCAGCCTCCCGAGTAGTTGGGACTACAAGCGTTTGCCGCCATGCCCAGCCAATTTTGTTTTTTTTGTATTTTAGTAGAGATGGATTTTCACCATGTTGGCCAGGATTGTCTTGATCTTCCGACATCATGATCCGCCCACCACGGCCTCCCAAAGTGCTGGGATTACAGGCGTGAGCCATCACACCCAGCCAACACAGTATTATTAAACATAATAATTTTTACATTTATATGTCACTTTTCATTTGAGGCTTTCAATTTAATAATTGTTTCCTTAATGTGTGATTTACACTTCATTTCAGGGGAAATTGGGGAAATTAAGGAACAGGCAAACTTTCACATGACAGAATATAATAAAATTCCCCTTTACAATACCCCAATCATTTTGAAACCTTTTTTAATAAAAAAATTTAAACATATAGAAAAGTTTAAATAATAATTGTATAGGTACTCTTTCATTCTGGGTAACACATTTAATTATATTATGTTCAGGGGTAGAGCACTGGAGGTTATAGTTATTAAATCAGTCCGACTGGCTGTATGCAGTGGCTCATGCCTGTAATCCCAACACTTTGGGAGACTGAGGTGGGTAGATCTCTTGAGCCGAGGAGCTCAAGACTATCCTGGGCAACATGGCAAAACTGTCTCTACAAAAAATACAAAAGTTAGCCAGGCATAGTGGCGCAGGCCTGTAGTCCCAGTTACTTGGGGGCTGAGGTGGGAGGATGGCTTGAGCCTGTGAGGTTGAGGCTGCAGTGATCCATGAACATGCCCCTGCCCCCCACTCTGGGTGACAGAGTAAGACCCTGTCTTAAACAAAACAATCAGACAGATATATGTTTTTACAACCCAGTCTTGGTGAATATAAAAATGTCCTATTCGCTACCTTAGGAATTTAGTATGCTTGATAATATCTTTCTCTAGCTTTGAAAAAAATATCATGGGCCAGGTACAGTGGCTTAGGGCTGTAATCCCACCACTTTGAGAGGTTGAGGCAGGAGGATCGCTTGTGTCCAGGAGTTCCAGACCAGCCTGGGCAACATGGTGAGACCCTGACTCTACAAAAAAATTTTAAAAATAATGGGTGTGGGGGTGGGCACCTGTAGTCCTAGCTACTTAGGAGGCTGAGGTGGGAGGATCACTTGAGCTCAGGAGGTTGAGTCTGCAGTGAGCCATGATGTGCCATTGCACTCGGCTTGAGTGAGACTTAGACAATATCAAAAGAAAAGAAATTTAATAAAAATCATGGAAGACAAGACATCTGTCTTGTAGGAATTTAAGATATATGAAAAGAGTAGAAGAGGAGGAGGGAGAAGTTAGAGAAATTATTTATTGGGATCTAATATGTGCCAAAGATAGTACTAGGCATCCTTGCATGTATTATTTCATTTGATCCACACCACTACCCTAAATAATATTATTTAGGGTATTATTATTCTTATTTACACATAAGAAAACTGGCTCAGAGAAGTCAAGTAATTTGTCTACGGCTGTGAATTCAATTTAAATTCAAAGCTTAAGCTCTTTTCACTACTTCTGAATGCATCATTTTCAAGATCTTTTCCGGGCCTAAAATAAGTGTTCATGCTGACAGTATTTATGTAAAACATGTAATACTGTGTATGTATGCTCCTCCTCCCCACGCACATTCACATTTACTGTGATTAATACACGTTAATAAAACTCTAGAATTAGAACTAGGACCTAGATTCCAGTCGTTTAGGTACTTAATGTTTAGTTCTCCCCTCCAGAAAATAGGCATAATTACCGCCCCCTTTTCCACTCGAAGGGATTGATGAGATAATTAGCGAGCTAAGATTAGTTACTAGTCATAACAAGAATAAACTACAACTCCCAAAATGCCCAAAGGAAGAGGCTGACGCCAGTCCAGAAGACAGTTCCAGCTTTAGGGCAAAGGTGACCCCGCTGGGTCCAGTGGCTAAAGAGAGCGCCGCCGGTCCTCGCCTCTTTTCTGATGCATCCAGGGATTTGTAGTTCCCTTACCGCCATCAAGTGCCCTTAGGGCAGGCCTCTTACTACAAGTCCCGTGATGACCCGAGCTCGGGCAGTGCCTGCGTATTGAAGCCTAGGGAGCGTGCGGGCGGTGCTAGTGGCGGGAGGAGTAAAGATGGCGGCGCGTGGGTCTCCGCCCTCTGCTCCCGGCTGAAGCTCTCTGAGGGAGGTGGCAGCGGCAACCCGAGCCTCAACAGTAATTTAGTGTTGGTAGTTTCGGCAGCAGCTGCCGAGGCCGGAGCAATGGCGGAGCTGGAGCATATAGGAGGGAAGCGGGCAGAGTCGGCGCGAATGCGGCGGGCAGAGCAGCTTCGGCGCTGGCGGGGCTCCCTGACAGAGCAGGAGCCTGCGGAGCGACGAGGCACGGGGCGGCAGCCGCTGACCAGGCGCGGGAGCCCCAGGGTCCGCTTCGAAGACGGTGCTGTCTTCCTGGCCGCCTGCTCTAGCGGGGACACCGACGAGGTGAAAAAGCTTCTGGCAAGAGGTGCCGATATCAACACGGTCAACGTGGACGGCTTGACAGCCCTGCACCAGGTAACTCCCGTCTCGGTCTTAGAGGCGTCCAGTCTCCTGCAGATGAGCCCTTGACCCTGCGAGCCGTCTCGTGGGGAGTATCAGTGTTGCCGCCGAGTCTTCCTGCACGGACACTGCCCTTTTGGGCTAGTCGGTTTCATCTTGGCCAGCGTCCTCCACTAACCAAGTCTTTTTCCGACCCCAGGGTCTCTATCTTTAGGAATAGTGTCACCCCGCTGCCTGGTCAGTGTTTGTATTTCCCTCCACCTGCTTGTGTTGTCATGGTTACCGATGATTTTGTCCCTGCTTCTATCCCTGTAGATGAGTTATCTTCACTTATGTCTGGTTGGCGTGCTTGCACACCGTGTCATTCATAGGCACAGTGTCTGTCATCTGTTGCCCTTTCAGAAAATTCAGTTCTCTTGTGTGTTCCCATTATAGAATATCTTAGATCACTTAGAGAGGAAAGCCTTTTACTGGGTAAAGACAATCAGATCTCAAACTACACTCTTGTTCTGTTGATTTGTAGTACTTCAAAACAGTTTGTGTCGCCTCTAAGCTATAGCTCCTAGAACGCCCCGACCTCGTTGTTACAGGTGTTTTAACTTTCTTCTCAGCAATGCTACCTCCCTGAGAGCTTCCTGTGGAGAACTAAGTTATTGAATTACCTCTGTTTGATACTTATGGAATAGCCTTTCTATTCCTCATTTTTTCTAAAGGGCTCTGGAAATCCCATGCCCTATACATAGCTTTACTATCTGGATTGTGGATGATCTGTGCTTGGTAACACCTTTACTTCTGTCACCTAATGCAACAGTATTCCCTATCTACTGACTGTCATGACTAACGACACCCTCTCTCCTCGAATGGAAGTTCATCAGTTATTTTGGTGAGCTGAGAGCCGGACACCCACTCTTAATCTTTCTTATTTTTCTTCTTCTGCCGTCTGTGCAAAGTGGATGTGTTGGCATGAGAATCCACTTCCAAGTAATAACTTTATGTCAGACCTCTTCCCTAAATATATTTAGCCAGTAGCTTAAAGTTACTTCTCACTATATTTGCAACCCTTCTCTCTCAGGTAGAAGAAACTTTTTCATCCCTATTTTGTATTCATCTTTTTTTTTCTGCTCAGAATATTTCACCACCTGAGGTAGCAACCAATAATTGTAGAGTGCTTTGCTGTTTGAATTAGTGATCCTTTGAAGCAGGTGTGGCAGGTACTGTTGTTATTCTCATTTTACAGATGAGGAAACTGAAGCTCAGGAAAATTCTTTGTGCAAAGTTAGAAAGTAAAGAAGTGGCCCACAAGCATGGCTTTTTCAGATTTAAATCACCAGAGCTTTATGTCCCACTTAATAAAGAGCTGAATGTAAAATAAGATAAAATCTAAGAGAACACATTAAATTTTAAACCTCCAATTTCTGAACTCTTTGGGTAGGTGAATTATTTTCTTTTTATATTTTGGGATGGAGTCTCACTCTGTTTCCCAGGCTGGAGTACAATGGCGCGATCTTGGCTCACTGCAACCTCTGACTTCCTGGTTCAAGTGATTCTCCTGCCTCAGCTTCCTGAGTAGCTAGGATTATAGGCGCCTGCCACCACTCCCCGCTAATTTTTGTTATTTCAGTAGAAACAGGGTTTCACCATGTTAGCTAGGCTGGTCTTGAACTCTCGACCTCAGACAATCCGCCCACCTTGGTCTCCCAAAGTGCTGAGATTACAGGCATGAGCCACTGCACCGGCTGAATTCTTATTTTTCAGATGTATTTGGGATATAAAGGCGATCGAGATCTGGATTCTGGAAGAAATCATTTCATGGGTTTATAGAGGATAAAGAAATACAGTCCAGCTTTCTAGTCTATGTGTTCCTTTTTTGAATCACTCTTCTATCAAAGCATGGTTTTCTTAGTGTAACTCTGTAGCCTTGTTTCTTTTAAGGTGACGCTGCTAGCTGAGTTTGGTTCTTACCATGTACATTTTAACATCACTGTGAGAAAAGCATCTTCTTTGAGATCACTCGTGGTAGATCTCCTTTCCATACCAGGTAACCATTTTTCTGAGACCTTCTCTCAAGACTAACCACCTTGGTTCCTTTCCTTCTCTCTTACTATCACCCCAGATTGTGAAGTGCAACATCTCTCAATTATATACTCTTCACAGTCAGTAATATTTTTATTTATTTATTTATTTGTTTGTTTATTTATTTTTGAGATGAAGTCTTACTCTGTCCCCCAGGCTGAAGTGCAGTGGCCTGATCTCGGCTCACTGCAACCTCTGCCTCCCAGGTTCAAGTGATTCCCCTGCCTCAGGCTCCTGAGTAGCTGGGATTGTAGGTGTGTGCTACCACACTCAGCTAATTTTTGTATTCTTAATAGAGACGGGGTTTCACCGTGTTATCGAGGCTCTGACCAACTCCTGACCTCAGGTGATCCTGACCTCAGGTGATCCTGACCTCAGGTGATCCTGACCTCAGGTGATCTGCCCACCTCAGCCTCCTAAAGTGCTGTGATTACAGGTGTGAGCCACCGTGCCTGGCCTAGTAATTTCTTGAAATAAGAAGGGGATGACAGCTATAGACTTTTTTTTTTAGCGTCTGTAAACACAATATAAGCATTCATTTCCACTTACAGGGCTGACGAGTTGAATTGAACAGGTATACTCAAGCCTAGACAAATTCAGCTAAGAATTAAGCTGCTTAAAGATTTAAGATCTTCTGTTGAGAAACTATCTTTGAATCAAGACAGTGGGCCTTTATTGGTTTCAGAACATTGCAAGTCAGTTTCCAAAGAGTTATGACTTTGAGAAGTTTTTTGTTTTGTTTTGTTTGTTTGTTTTCTTTTGTTTTGTTGCGAGTCAGAGTCTCACTCTGTCTCCCAGGCTGGAGTACGGTGGTATAATCTCGGCTCACTGCAACCTCCATTTCCCAAGTTCAAGCACTGCTTGTGCCTCAGCCTCCCAAGTAGCTGGGACTACAGGTGTCCACCACCATGCCTGGCTATTTTTTATATTTTCAGTAGAGATGTGGTTTTGCCATGTTGGCAAGGCTGGTCTCAAACTCCCGGCCTCAAATGATCTGCCTCCTGAAGTGCTGGGATTACAGGCATGAGCCACCGTGCCTGGCCAACCTATTTTCAAATGTGAGACTGGAGCTGTTGGTAGCTGAACCACCTACTCTACAACTGATTCACCTTCTGTGAAATGGAGAGTGAGTGGTACAATTATCTGAATTATTTATTTAAAATGTCCATCTTTTATACAAGCATGATATAAATTATCTGGATAATTGCTTCTTTTCTCTCCTTTGGCCATGGCCACTTGACCAACTGTGGATTATTGTCTTGGCTTGTTAGAAGAAGCCCCCAGATAATACTGGGGGACAATTTTTCTTCTCATCCTACAGCGACACAGTAGATAATTTGCATTGCAGCTTGTGGTGCCTTGATGTTTCTTTTGACTTAGAGACCTTTTTTCTTGGCAGCCTTTGCTGAGACCACGAGGTGCTTGAGTCAAAGATAACAAGCTCCGGGGAGCCTATTAATAATACTTGAATTAGACTGGGATAAGAAGTATCTCAAAGGTTAGACCAACTCTGGTGAAAGCCTTGGAAACTGATACAGGCTAAATTTCCGTGACTAAATTAAGATTTGGTGTGTATGCACGTGGTGTCCTAGAGTCCTTAATGAACAAGGTATTAATCTGATTGTAGAACCCTTGAAAGCACGTGTTTGCTCACAAAGGAATTTCTGTTTCATTTGCGTATACACATTGTAAGGCCAGGCATATCTGTTAATAATTCTATGTGCTCTAGTACTTTAAAACTTTTATTTATTTATTAAGTTTGACTATTAGCACCTATATTGGTATCCTTAGCTTTATAATCTTAGGTACTCTAGGCCTAGATACATGCGCTTAAAAACTATATCCACCAAATTATTGTTGTTGTAAGAGGCAAGTGCTTGCTTTCAGAAAAGAGATTTTTCTTTTGAGACAGAGTCTTGCTCTATTGCTAGGCTGGAGTGCAGTGGCCAATCTCCGCTCACTGCATCCTCCACCTCCTGGGTTCAAGCAATTCTGCCTCAGCCTCCCAAGTAGCTGGGACTACAGGCGCACGCCACTATGTCCAGCTAATTTTTGTATTTTAGTAAAGACGGGGTTTTACTATGTTGACCCGGATGGTCTCGATTTCTTGCCCTCATGATCTGCCTGCCTCACTCTCCCAAATTGCTGGAATTACAGATATGAGCCACTGTGCCAGACCAGAAAAGGGATTTTTCTAGGATTCATCAAAATGAATGCTTATTTATTATATTGACTCTTAAATCTGTGCTGAGTGTGGTGAGGGATACTGGATGTCACTCACCATAGGTCTTGTTTCTTAGTGCAGTCTAATCAGTCTTTATTTGGAGGGCTACCAAGGAGATTAGAATAATTCCACGCTTGATTCAGAAATTCAGAGTGGTGGCCAGGCATGCTGGCTCATACCTGTAATCCCAGCACTTTGGGAGGCTGAGGTGGGCAGACCACAAGGTTAGGAGTTCAAGACCAGCCTGGCCAACATAGTGAAATCTCGTCTCTTCTAAGAATACAAAAATTAGCTGGGCGTGGTGGCATGAGCCTGTAGTCCCAGCTACTCGGAGAGGCTGAGGCAGGAGAATCCCGGTGGAGGCTGCAGTGAGCAGAGATCATATCACTGCACTCCAGCCTGGGCATCAGAGCAAGACTCCATCTCAAAAAAATTAAAAAAAGAAAGAAATTCAGACTGGCTTTATAATGTATAGGGTCCAAATTTGGACCCTTAGAGTCACCCCAGACTAGAATTTAATTTGTAGCTGAATAAGCCTTTGTCATTCTGGAGTTGCCTCAGTCTGACCCTGTAGCCTCAGGGAGGCTAAAATCACATATTTCTCAGGAAGAGAGATGGACATAGGGACAAGTATGGGGAGGAGGATAGGCTGAGCAATTTATATTCAGACTGAGACAGAAGATGACCAAGATGACTAAGTGTTCATTTCAATATAAAA